GTCTGCGGGCTGTCCACTCCTGCTCCTGCAGGGCCGGTCAGCGCGTCTGCAGGTTTTCTCTTTGAAGCAGCAGCACCTGAAAAGTTAGGAGAAGCGGTTAAGCTGGTCCAGTTAAGACAGTAACCAGCTGGGTTAGATATAATTGATGAAGACCTACAGAGACAGCAGCCCTCCAGGGCCAGAACTGGACACTCCTGCCAGCAGAGGTTTTCCTCTGTGCCTCTACCATTGCCACGGTCTTCTCTTTGTCTACCCGTCCTCTTCATTCATAACAGGTTTGTCCCTGATGCATCCGTACAGTGCAGAACTGGGAGGTTCTCTAACCCCCAGGACCTGTGCCCAGGGCGAGCTCGCCAGCACCTTGCCCCAGTGTATAGCCGTCGCTTGCGAGCTGCGCCTTCTGACGTTTCCCGGTGTAGTTCAGTGCCAGTACGTCGGCCGCCAGGGGGCGACATTGTCAAAGCGCAGCCGAGAAAGAGCTGGACATCTCTCCTCCATTAGCCCGCTGCACTAATGTACGAGACGCCCTCCTGCTGAAGTACCTCCAGTGCATAAAAGCTCGCCTGTTGCCGGGGCCGCTCCGTTAAGCCGTAGAAAGCCTCTCCTATTGATTATTTTCTTCAAAGAGCGAATGCAGCACGCAAATAGCACACCCGCGTAATGGCCTCAAACTTCACGATCCTCAGCGCTGTGGAGAGCGGCGTGCGGGGCGCCGTTTTATTCGGCAGGCAGTGCGGAAATATTGCTGCGGGTGCTGAGAGTATTGAGGAGTTCGCGTCGGAGCTGGGGTGTGGCGTCCGGCTGAATAGCGTGTCAGAACTGAGAGCTCGGATCCCTTCTGCCTCTTTTAGGGGAGTTTGTATCGCGAGTGGAGAGAAGGGGGAAGAATCCTGCTTCTGGTCTTGCAAGGGCCGCCCAGAAGAACGAGAAGGGAGTTAAGAAAGTAGGGCAGGTTGCGTGATCCATCCTTCCCAACGAGGCGTCGCCAGAATCTGACGTATTTGCCTCCAAGCCGGGCCTGTGCGAGCAGGGGAGAGGGAGGGAGAG